CCTCATGCTGTCACGTATCCACGCAAAGAAAAAAAATTCTTCCGCGATTCACCTCGGGCGCTCCTCATCCACCTCAGTAGTCGACGCTTGATGCCCATTCGAGTGCAGCAAGCCCTCCATCCGCCACGGACGGACTCTGGCTATCGAGTCGAGCTGACACGAGTCCCGGCGATGGCGAGTCGAGAATGGCTCAACTCAGCCATGGTTGCTACTACCAGGATGATTATTCTTATGCTCGTCGCCCTTCTCCACATCCACGCCGCGTCGTCGGTATCACCAGCATTGTCTCTTAGTCAGGAATCACCTTTGTCCTCCCCGCCTCGGACGAATCTCTTCTGGCGCTTCCTGCGAAGCTGGCATGCAGCGCATCATCCGCCGCGATCGGCGGCTGGCGCGGCTAAACGGACGTCGCTATGGCTTCAGTACCGGCGCTACTTTAGTGGGAATTCCGCGGACGCGAACGTTGACTTGGCGTCATTCACGCAATACCACGGGGACGGCGGGCCGTATTCGCTAACTCCTGGCATCGATCCTACCGACCACTCGCTTGATGACGTGGCAACGCCTTTCGGACGGCGTCGGCGACTGCGTACGTGGCATGGAGACCGTCCCGCTTCCACTAGCTTTCTCTTCCGTTCCCGTTTTGTTTATGACGTTTTTTTTTTGTTTTTTTTCCTTGTCCGTTACCCGGCCCATTAATTTTTCTCTACCTCCTCCTCCTCCAACTCTGTCCCTTATCGCTTCACTTCGGCCACTTCCGTTTCACTCACCCTGTCATGATGACAGAAAAGAAGACGCAAAAGGGACCTTGCACCCCCCTCTCGGAAGCCAAGGTCATCCTCGTTTCAAGCCCATCCGACATCGACAAGCGGCTACAGTACCCCAATTCCGTTACCGTCATTCTCGAAGTTACCCGCGACCTCATCCTTCCCAAGGGCCTCGTTTTCTCTGGCGCCTTCCGCTGCACAATTTTCCGGTCAGCGCAGGGAAAGAGAAACTTCAAAGTGTCTTTAATGGGAGACAAGGAGCCGGTGATTCGCGTGTGGAATACCAGCAACGTGGTTATTCTGAAGCTGGATTTCTGGCTGGGCGTGACGGCGCGGTCGGGTGAATGCGAGTTGCTACTAGACACCGATATAGGCAGAGGCAACACGTGCCCTACGATCCACATCTGGCGGTCGCATAACATTCAGGTCGCGAAAGGGAGCTTCTGGGGTCGGATTGACGTGTTTCGTGCCATGGCTACGCGTGTAGACAGTATGAAGGGTACCGGGTTAACGCTTTTCGCCAAGTCGCCAGGAGTCATTCGCGTAGCGTTTTCAGGTTACGGCCCTGCGCTGCTAAAAGCCTGGGTTTCGCTGACCAATAACGAGTTGTACGGTGTAGACCAGCCAATTGTGCTTCAAAACGGCGCTGTGGGGGTTATAGCGAGGAACAACTACATCCACGACTTTTTATTCGCGGGGATTCGATGCGGTGCTGACGTGTACAACCAGGGGGATTGCATGCTGACGACGCTCAGCAACAACCTGATCGTCGCGTCCGGGCGGAACATGTCGGGCGACCACGACGCGGCAGGGATTTACTACTGCACGCACTTTTTCAACCCTGGTGAGAAAGATGGGCTTCCGTGTGGTGTGGCTGGAATTTGGGTTGGCTTACATAGCACGGGGTAGCATAGCTTCCCGAAGCAGCTGGGCCCAGCCATGGATGGATGTGACAACTTTTTCTGTCCCTCCTCGGTGTTCTCCTCTCACGCTGATCCCGCTCCTGGCATCTCGTCACAGGGAACATCGCGGAGTGCAATTACATCTTCAACGGCGACCACTGCTATTATCTGGACTACGCCACATCGGGGGTAATTATCCGCGGTGGCGCGTGCATCAACACATACGACGGCATGAAAGTCAACAACGGCCACTGGTAAGCGCCCGTACACCACGCAAATAACTCCAATTCCGAGGACCATGCGTCCGCTTATCGTGGGACTGCCAGAAGCGCCGTAAAACATGCTCAGGGAACAAGATTTCGAGGCTCGCAACGTCTTTCCCGGTTCTGTGTGTCTTCTTGGCACAGGAATGTGATTGAGGATGTGATTCTGAAGGGCACGATTGGGATGCCGGGGTGGTGCCAGTGCTACACGCCCACTATCAACAACTGCGCCAGGAAGCCGGGGACCTACTGGGAGGAGATGCGGATCAACTACTACAACTCACCCGTCATCAACCAGGTGAGTGTGCAGCTGTGCTCCTACGTGGCTCGTTCTGTCGTTTCATTCATGCTAGCCTGCATCCTTTGTGGGCTGTGAGTCCCTGTTCTGCCATTTTCTTGCAGTTGCAGTGGCTGTATGTCTGCTTTTCTTTACCTGTTCATCCTGTATGGTGACAGGCAGTTGAATCAACCATGTCAGCTCAATCTCTTTCCGATCGCCCTCTTTTCCCTCTCCCCTTCCAATCCTCGCTCTTTCTAATTGTTGATAAGCAGAAGTGGCCATGGTTTAAGTCAATCTGTCAAGCAAGGACTGTGAATGGAATGAAGTGCAACACCGATGAAAGGGGTACACTGACCGGCGCTCAAACTGGGCATTGCAGCGGCCTTCCCACCCACAACACCGTCAATCTAGTCGCTGTGAACACGACTGACTATGAAATGGGTTACAGGTACTGTGAGAGGCTCCCTACAGTGCTGACAGGGAAGTTCAACGACCACAGCATCATGAGAATCCAATGGCCAAAACGAGCAGCCTTCAACGACTACAAGAAGAATGACTTGGGCATCTCTGCAAAGGACTCCATAATATATCAGAAATACCCCAAGTTTAAGAGCTGCCCACGGTCTGAAGTGGGGCCGAAACGTGTCCCTGACTCGTTCTACTACAATTCATACAATCGGCCCATGCCATGGGGCTTCATGGCGAACATCAGAATGGGAAAGTTGCACATCCATGACCTTCCTGGTTGGCCTTGATTATGTTATCGTCCTATGTGTGGAGTGTATAGTAGTGAATTGCTTTGTTGAGTATAGCACTGTTGTGAATCATCTCTTACAACGTATCTACCGTTGTCACGAACACATGTATCATGACATGAAGTGCTCAGCTTTCCGACCATAGGTTTATCAGGTTGAAGCCCAAGCAGTAGGTGCATTCTGCGATTCGGCTGCTGAGTAGGTGTAGTAGTAGTAGTAGTAGCACCCATGGGCGGACTCGCTTGTCCGCTGAGACATACACCTGATGCTCACCCCATGCGCGCGAATTTGCCTTGTGCCGGATGGATACGCTGCACCCGAGGTTGTTTCCCCAGCTTCATGCACCTACATTACAAGCGCGTCAAGCAGAAGAGACTGAAGTCAAGCAGAAGAGACTGAAGTCAAACAAGGTAGCTAGGTAGCAGGGTCTTGTTTATAAGCACATGCGAATTCTTTTTAGCTAGCTGCGAATTGACGAACTTAAGCGAACTGCCTCGTTACAGCTTATACGCCCCCTTCACAAGGCAACCGGGAGGGGCTCAAACAGGCATCATGTGTACTCTTCGGGAACCAGCCTTTCGCCCACCTGAGTTGAATTTCCGCGGGGCGGAAGCGAAGCTCCAAGATCACCTGCGCTGCGCCTCTCAGCGCTGTCAACAAATTTATGGATTGCTGTCCAGGGCAAGGCAACATCAGCATGTTCTGTCGCAACGCGACTCAACCCATCCACCCGCAGTTCCGCCCAGCTTATCGCATTTGTCGCGCGCCTCCCTCCACCTTTCTTTGCTCGCTCACCTCCAAATTCGCCTCCCCTCCTGGCTGCGGCACAAGCGGCAGGTGTTGGTCCACAAAATCTGCCCTAACTTTTCAAAATCGCTAGTCATGCTTGTACTGTAACTTTCAAGATACACATGATGCTCACCCCCTGCACGCGAAATCGCCTTGCACCTGATGGAAACCTTGCACCCGTGGGTTTTGTGCCGCGAGGCTGCACCCAAGTTACAGGCACGTCAACCAATACGAACCACAGAAACTGAAGTCTGACTGAAGAGAATGCAGTCAAAAAGTCAACGGTGAGTTACAAATCTTTTTATAAGCCCTTTTTGCCCGAAACGATTTGACGAAACTTCCGCGAAATGCAGGAATCGTTTTTACGCCCAGAGGGTAAGGCAAGGTTGGGAGGCTCAACCGGGCATCGTGTGTACTGTATGCATGACTGGCAGTTGCGAGAATCCACTGCACAGATGAGAGGGTAGCACACCTGCAGATGAGAGGGCAGCACACCTGCACATCATACACCCGATACCTATTTCAGTCTCGTTTCTCATCTTTCCTCGTGCTCCTCTCTCGTGCCCGTGCTCTCTAGGGGCAAAATGGGACTGAATGTAGAACAGTCGCCATCATTGTGGGTAGCCGAGCGTGTTTTGGCTTGGAAACTCGAACAACTTATTTGAGGTCAAGAATATCCTGGTTTTGTCGTGGGCCAGTAACGAGCGGGCCGTTGACTGTGAATGTCGTCCACTAGGCGTATGGAGTGGCAGTGGGAGTGTTCAGAGTGGGCAGTTGAGTGAGCATTAGGGTGTATGTAACAGCGGATTCATTGGGCTGGACGAGCCGCCTAAACCGACGAAAAAACACTTCTCACCATTTTTGGAATTCAACCTTAATGATTCAGGCTGTCAGAGGTGCATGTTACACAGTAGCTTTTACAAAACTCTTTCTATCATAGCGACCAAAAGCACAGTCGGCGCGCGCACCCGCAGTAAAGGAAGGTACTGGCCGCTTCCAACGTCATATACAAAACCGACGCGCGACACGCGCACCCCGGGCAGTACGGCTGCGCAAGTGGCCCCTCACGCTCGTCGTTGGCTCGGAATCAGAAACTCAAACTGTCGTCAATGTCACAGCTTTCTGAAATGGTGCTGTAGTTTCGTAGCATCTTACGCCGCCATTAGGAGCAGCTGAATCATCATACCAGGAGAAGTGTTACAAGGAGCGGCAGTGAGGCTCGGAAGCATCGCGAGGGTGACAACATGGGGCGACCGCACTGCCTCCTCGTCGCAGCGCTCATTCTTGTCCTCGCCACGCTCCCAGATTCAGCTTCAGGTGCTGGTTTTCTTGTGACTTTCCGCTCCTCCCTTTTTGAACCCCCTCGCTCCGTCACCGTTTCCCTACCCTCCGCAACCAGCCGAGCGTCGTCGCGTCCGCGTTTCCGCTACAGTCACCCACTCCTGTTTCCCCCTCCGCCCCTGTCCCCCTACCCCAGTCGCTCCTTCTCCCCCTTATACCCTGTCCCCGTCCCCCGTCTCACTTTCTCCCGCTCTCCCCCTCTCTCCTCTCCCTCTTTCCCTCTCTGCCAGAAGGAAAGGGGGAGTGCCCTATTCCCCCTCCTCCCCTATCCCCATCTCCCTCTTTCCCCCTCCCCCCCGTCTTCTTACCCCCTCTTCTGCTTTTTCCCTCGCCCCCTCTCCGCAGGAAACCTCCAGCAACCCAACGTTCTAAAGCGCTTCGTGACGACATGGCGGCAATGGCACGGCGCGGTAACTTCCCGCTCGTCCACGTCAACACTGCTGCAGAACCGGCGATACCTCAGCACCGATCCCGCGGAGGCTGCTGACGTGGCGCGCGTGCTGCGCCGACATGGTGGGTGGTGGCACGACGCGGACGGCCAGGCGTACGTTTCAACTTCTGGAGACGAGGGGATACAGGAGGTGACTGATGACGTGGCAGAAGGCATCGTTTCGCGGAGGCGGAGAAAGCGTGAGTGCCACTCTGCCTGCCTGCATCATTCGCTCCTTTACTGTTCCCCTTTATTCCTTCCTTCTTCCCCTTCCCTGTCCCTTCTTTCTCTTCCCGGCTCCTTCTCTCCCCTTCCGCGCGTCCACTTCACATCTTGTTTCCGCACTCTACTGCCTCCTCGTTTTGCTCAGACACTAGATCGCCCCACCTCATTCCTTCTCTCCTTTTTTCCCTGCTTCTCCCCCCTCCCCTCCCCTCCCCTCCCCTCCCCTCCCCTCCCCTCTCCCTGCTTCTCCCCCCTCCCCTCCCCTCCCCTCCCCTCCCCTCTCCCTGCTTCTCCCCCCTCCCCTCCCCTCCCCTCCCCTCCCCTCCCCTCCCCTCCCCTCCCCTCCTCTCCCCTCCCCTTCCCTCCCCTCCCCCCTCCCCCTCTCCTCTCTCGTCGTTCACCTCTTCCCTCACTGTAGTGGCTGCGGCAGGGAACACGACGGGTCCGTGCACTCCGCTCGCTGACGCCATACTCATTACAGTCACAACTGAAGAAGACATTGCTAAGCGGACACAGTATCCAAACAAACAAACCGTTATATTGGAATTGGCCAATGACATCACGCTATCCAAGGGACTTGTTTTCGGCGCTGCGTATCGGTGCACCATCTTCCGGTCGAGCGCGGCTAAAGCAAACTACAAGATTGCTTATATGGGGGATACGCAGCCACTGCTGCTTATAGCGAACACCAGCAACGTGATCATCCTTCGCATTAATTTTTGGATGGGTGTAACGATGCGGTCCCCGGAGTGTACTGATTTCCTGTACACGGATCTTGGATCGGGCAACACGTGTCCTACAATTATGCTGTGGCGCGTGCACAACACGCAGGTCGCCAAGGGCTCTTTCTACGGGCGTATTGATGTCCTCCGAGCCATGTCGTCGCGTGTTGACAGCATGAAGGGTACCGGGTTACCACTGTTCGTCAAGTCCCCTGGCGTCATCCGAGTGTCCTTTTCGGGGTACGGGCCTGCTCTCCTCAAGTCATGGGTCGCGATTACAAACAATGAAGTGTATGGTAAGGGTATTTACCACTCGCAGGGTTACATGGGCCAAAGGGTATATCCTACCTTACATAGTGAGTGGCTAATCACTCACCTCATTACTTTTGGGTTATGTCAGTCTTCTGGAATCAGTCACCCAACGTTCTCTCCCATTCCGTTCTCGCCTCACAGCACATGTCCTCTTCTCCCCCCCCACTTCCTCCTCCACCCAGGCGTGGATCAGCCAATCATTCTTCTGAATGGCGCAGTCGGGGTGATGGTCAGAAGAAACTACATCCACGACTTCTTATTCGCTGGAATTCGGTGCGGAGCAGATGTGCACAACCAGGGGGATTGCATGCTGACGACGATCAGCAACAATCTAATCGTCGCGTCTGGACGAAACATGTCGGGTGATCAAGACGCCGCGGGGATTTACTACTGTACACATTTCTTCAATCCGGGGAATGTTGCAGAGTGCAACTACATTTTCAACGGAGACCATTGCTATTATCTGGATTACGTTTCGTCGGGAATCAAGATACGCGGAGGAGCGTGTGTGAACACGTTTGATGGGATGAAGGTCAACAACGGGAAATGGTGAGTGGCGGACATTTGTGCTTTCTCTCCTTGGTTGATGCTCATGTTGATGCTTTCTCTCCTTGGTCGATGCTCATGTTGATGCTTTCTCTCCTTGGTCGATGCTCATGTTAATGCTTTCTCTCCTTGGTCGATGCTCATGTTGATGCTTTCTCTCCTTGGTCGATGCTCATATTGATGCTTTCTCTCCTTGGTCGATGCTCATGTTGATGCTTTCTCTCCTTGGTCGATGCTCATGTTGATGCTTTCTCTCCTTGGTCGATGCTCGTGTTGATGCTTTCTCTCCTTGGTTGATGCTCATGTTGATGCTTTCTCTCCTTGGTTGATGCTCATGTTGATGCTTTCTCTCCTCCTGTGGTGTGTATTCTCAACTAACGCCAACGCATTTCAGAAACTCGTGTGCTTGAATGTGTTTTATGATTGGAACTGTAATCGTGCTTGCAGGAACGTTATAACAGACGTGATTATGAAGGGGACGCAGAATACGCCTGGTTGGGTGGCGTGCTTCACGCCCACAAGCAACAACTGCCTCACACACTCTGGGATGTACTGGGAGCAAATGCGGCTAAAATACTACAATTCACCCGCGATATTGAAGGTGTGTCTCACCGTTACTCCATCCCCTGAGCCCTTCGTTGATAAACCCCCTGAGCCCTTCCCTTTGTCACTCCATCCCCCCTGTTTCGTCGTTCTCTCCCCCACCTTTTAGCAGCTACTTATCTTCCTCAATCCTCTCCCCTCATTCTCGACCCCTCCCCTCCTTCCCGGTTACCTCACTCTCCCGATTCCCATGTGACCCGCATCGCAGGAGTACCCATGGTTTCCTACCGTATGCAAGGAGAGGGCAATCAACGGGTATCTATGCAACATAGGCAGACAAGGGACCTTGTCAGGACGAAAGACCGGCTACTGTAGCGGTCTGCCCACAAACAATACCATTCAGCTGATCACAGTGCAGACCTCAGACCACGACCTTGACTTCAGATACTGCGAGAGGCTGCCTACAGTGGAGAGCGGGAGACTCAACACTTACTTAAAAGTCAACATCTCCAGGCCTGCGAGGGCTAAGTTTGCCCACTACTGGCGAAACGACTTCGAGATTACTTCCAAGGAGTCGGTCATCTACAAGAAGTTCCCAAAATTCAAGAGCTGCCCAAGAAGCAAGGTCGGGCCGAAGAGAGTTCCGGATACGTTCTACTATAGCTGGTACAACCGGCCAATGCCGTTTGGATTCATGAGTGTCATTCGGATGGGGAAGCTCCACATTCACGACTCGCCTGGCTGGCCCTAGCGCATGCTTCACCACCTGTACACTGTAGCTTTTGCCTTCATATGTGTCCTCCACCCAACATGGGTTGTGTATACTACACTTGGCTGGCGTCCTCACCATTCAAGCAACCAGATTGAGAATCAGCATGAGGAAAGCATTGTAGGCAGGATTACCACCCACATCTTCACCAGTGTGAGACCATGTCGAGTCCTCATCAGCCTGTGGCATACCGTATGTTTGGTTGTGTTGAAGGCTTTTCTCTGCCCGACAGGGTGGGGGGCATGGGGAGATGAGATGACCCCACGGATGCTAGAGCTTGCACCAGACGTGTGATGATGCTGTTACGTGTGCATGGAGGATGTAGTAAAATAATATTTGTAACGCGTTAGAAAGAACAGGCTAGTATCTAAGACACTTCTTATAAACAAGTGCACAGATGAGAGCCATAGCTACAGCTTAAGTCAGAGACTAAGGGAGAGGTCAAGGTCCCTCTTCACATTCTTCACGCCTTTCACATCGCCACTGTCGCTGACCTTCCTCTGTTTCGCCACGCGAGCCGCAATAACGAGCTCCGACGTATCGCTAACGCTCGTGCCGTTGGTATGCGCCAAGAGCTGCTTCGTTTTCACGTTTAGAGGGCCGTCCCAGTGCTTCCGCATGTGCCCGCCGAGCGCCTGCCCCGTGGAAAACTGCTTCCCGCATTTAGGGCAAGTCTTGATCGGTTGTTGCCCGCCGCGCTTCCGCTTTTGCGGCTTTTCCTCCTCCGCGGATCCGGCGGTGCACGCGCTCTTCTGCTCCACCTCGTGTTGCGCGTCGGGGGAGGCGTTTAGGTCTAAATCCACGAAGTTGCGCTTGGGCGACGCGGTCGCCGGAGCGGCATAGTTTGGCGAGCGTTGCGCGTCGACGCCGGAAACGGCGTTGTTGTCTGTGCTATCTTCCGCAGCGCACGACGCGGAGGCGACGCGGAGCGTGAGCAGAGCGTTGGCGCCAGAAGCTACGTCGATATCGCTGTTCGCGCGTTTCCGAGAGCCCGCAGCAGAAGACAGCATTTCGCGACGCGCCGGGATGGTCTTGCTGTGAGAGCTGGTGGCGTGGCTGACGCTTGAGAGACGTGGGCTGCACGCGTTGTTATCGCGCGACGGAGAATCAATAGCGGAAACCGCGGACGACTGCTGCTGCTTAATCTGAGAGAGGGCGTGGAACAACGGGAGGTACGCCGCGAGCGACGCGTCCGCCGCGACGTCGATAGGGGGGCGAACAATGCGCACCGCGGCGCGGCTCTTTCGGGCGAAAGATTCACTATTCGCGTATTGGTCGAGCCTGTTGAAACCGGTGGTACTAGACAAGCCCGCGAAATTCATTGCGTACTTGAAAGGCGATTGAAGGATACTCGGAGCTGATTGATGCTCGGGAGGGTTGACTTGACCTAAGTTAACGCGAAGCTAAGGAGGGAGCTGTTTGTGAGGGAGTAAACCGATGCAGAGCGAGGAAAGTGTTGAGGAATGACGTCCTGATTCCACGCCTCAGTCTTTATACCTCAGTTGGATGGGCAGCACAGTTGAAGCAAGGGAGTGGTGTGCTTTCTGCTCGAGTACACTTCATTCCAAGCGTAACATAGGTGACGGCTACTTGCCTGGGGTTCGGCGCTGGCAAAATCTCACAAGTACGCGCCGACATCCCCCACTCGACCCCGATTTTGCCGCTGTTCCTGCGCACTGCGCTGAAACCCGCGTTTGGGTTTGGTGGAAGTGCTGGATCCACCCACATCGTGCGTGAGGTTGTGAGGTGTGCGATCTGATCCGCGTGACATGACAGCCAACCACATCACACCTCGCGGACAATCATGTTGAGCACAGCGGCGTCAGAGTGGGGGTGGTGGGGTGGAGCGGAGCTGCGGGGGGATTGGGGATGGGGCAGAAGCGGATTGGATGGAAGGCTGACGAGTGAGATGAGATGACCTCTGTGATGAGTCCCATCCACTCCCATTCCTTTGGCCTTTCAGCAGCACTATTCACTGCTGGCCTTTGGCGAACCAAAGGGACACCCGTCACACAACCCATCTCAGCCCATTAGCCTGCCTACACCTATTTCCGCGGTATTTTAACCGCTGCTAACCTAACCGCGCGAAGGTACTTCTCCTTGGTCAATCTTTTTTATACGAGTAGTTTTGATTTTTTTTTTGGGTATAATCTATCATACCCTTTGTGAGACGACGGCAGTCAACCCAGTCAATGCCGATCTGCCCTCTATTTCGGAGCACTAGTGTGATTTTCTTTGAAATGCTTCTGGCTGCAAAACGATAGCCTTGAAGTCTCTTGGTGCCCATCTCATTACCCGAAAGCGAACAAAGGGTGTTTGACACCAAACAGTTCACGTGATAAATATACCGCGGACTAGGTGTAGTCTACAAGTCTAGGAAGACTTGTCCCCCCCAAACCACCACTGAAAGGAAGTCACAGTGATGCAGCTGTCAGGGTCCAGCCCAGCCTAGAGTCTGGGCAGGGAGTTCCCGTTGTCCAACGTTCCGTACGGAGGAGGAACTGTAGAATTGGCAAACATGGAGGTAACATATTAGATAAGTAAATTCTTCTGTAAATCAAACAAAATTGAGTTTAGGACGTGTCTCGGTTCGGTTCTGGTCGGCTGTGATCTGGTCAGGGCTAATCTGATCGGGTTGCCTTTGTTTGAGCAGCTCGGGCCGCCCGATCAGTAAGCAATTACTTCGAATTTTCCAAAAGGTTATATGGCAAGCGTCCAGACTCTTCCTGCCACTGTCAGGCCAACTTTGGCGACTGCGAACGCCTCGGCATGGAAATAGCGAGTTTAGCGTTTCCCTGTAATTTCGCGAAAGCTGGTGCCCAGAAACCCTGCAGTTCCAGATTCACGACGGGGGTGTATTCACGAATCAATGCCGATACATGTAACAGTTCGCCAGCGTCGCTTAGTACCCCAATCAAATGCAATCAAGTGATCGTTGGTGATTGTACGGGATTTTGTTTGATTGGGCTGTTTTAGGCGGTAGATCGTGTTGGGGCGATCAGCTGATCGCGATCAAGTGATTGCCCCCGATTGCCTGAAATCGCCTTCAGAACTTCCTGGAAGTTCAGGACCGGGTCTGATCGAGGCAATCAAGGCGAGCTGAAACAAGTCCTCAGCATTGTTGAAACTCGCATGGGTTTTGCTTTTGCTTATGTTTACAAGATATAGAACTGGGCCGGTGCGAAATTATTGATCAAGTGGTAGAACTAAAAGAGTGCTTTTTTGGGGGGCACGGTTAGAACTAGATTTTCACGAATCAAATTACACGTGAGGATCACCCATCGACCATAATTCTAGGAGATGGGTGGGGGTGATTGATCGTCAATCCGTGTGGTGATGAACACGTGAGAAATTCCGCACGTAACTTCGAGCAAACGTGAGTCGCGTGCTGACGGGAGCACTGTGACACCGCCATCAGATTCCAGTGGGCACACAACTGTGGCACATCATTCCGACATCGCATTCACAAACATCTTCCGAATTCGGTGAGAAATAATGAATGAGTGTTTCTGTAACTTCAAACCAAACAAACACATTGCAACCAGCTCCAACGCGCCCCATGTCTCGCAAACTTCATACAGCTTTAGAGTGAATACTTCATCCGACACCACTAAAACCCTGGACCCGGTCCCTTCAACATGCACCTTTACAGAACTGGGATCTTTAAACAACGCCGCTCTGAAGGATTTTTATCATAGCATTGAGAGATACGATCCAGTGCCGTCACCACAATGCGGTGGTCGATCAGCAGGCCAGCCGCAATGGAGGTTGGGTTGGGACGAACGCGTCAGCTTGCAGACGACTGACAGCATGACCAGCATACAGTAGTGACGAACTGGGCAGGCAAGTGGGCGGGTTTTTGCTCAACGTGCAGTGAGAACAGCAGATCCCGATTCCTCATGGATAAATGCGGAAATTTCGCCCGTGAGTGGAGGAAGTACCGAACCAAGCAACGTCAGCACGATGCCCTGGAACCGCGATGGGTTTTCCCCGACAAAACCAGGCTCTTTACTGTTCTAAGACGTGCAAGGTACGGTACAACGTAACTTGAACATAAACAAGAGAACCCTTCACACTTACATATGTTACTTTAATACACCAAGGAAACTCATATATGAAATTACAATGTATTTTCAAATGCTTAGTATCATGGTGGTCATACAAAACTTGGAAAATATAGGCGCTTAATTTCATCTAGGCCCACGGCTATCTATGCTTGATTCATGCTCCATTTTTTTTTCCAATCGCACACGTATTTCTAATTCCGTTACGGGTGCAATAAATCAAAGTAGCGAGAATTGCACTAAGGTGTCAAACGGGTACAAAATGTGAAGGAATGCATGAGCGAACATTTATACGCGAAACATGCAAACGGTAACGCTGAGCGTGCGGGCTAGCTAGTGTCATGCTGGAAGCGAGGTTCGGGCTAGTCCCGAAGCGTGGGCCGATACGGCCAGGCCAGCAGTGCGAGGTTTGGTGAAACAGTGCGCGCGAAGTCGACGAAGCCCCGTTAACAGTAACGGGCGAACAACGGCTGCTGCCGTACGCGATGTTGCAGGGCGCGCTAAGGAATATCGAGAAAATTCTTTACACTACCCACTCCCCT